TTTAGATGAGATGGGCAACAGACAAATCTAACATAAATAAATTTCATTTAATAGGAAGAAAGAGAAGGGTGAAAAGTGTTTATTTAAAGCACACTATAACAGCAGCTGGATAACTGCCAACCTATACCACTTCTAAGCCGCCCCCCTTTTTTTTTTTTTTGCAATTCCCAGAGCACCCTCAAATTACATCACAGAAATTTAGTGGCAGTTAATAACCAATTATTAGCAAAATAATTTCTAACCAATGTTTGACAGAACAAAAGGAATAAAATATACTAATTATTAAAGTTAATTTACAATCCCATAGGTGCCTGCATTTTGTATCCATAACTGCAGTTTAATAAAAAGGTACATTACACTTCTGCAACCCATGTACTTCATGAAAGATTTCAGCATCAGCATTTAGTAAACGTGTCATGTGACAGCTCCCCTTAAAGATAACACCATTTGTCTAGAACAGGGGTAGGCAACCTTGGCTCTTTTGTGACCCGTGGATTTCAACTCCCAGAATTCCTGAGCCAGCATGGCTAAGCATGGAAACCTCTCCCTTTCCCTCAGCATGGCTGTCTCAGGGATTCTGGGAGTTGAAGTCCACAAGTCATAAAAGAGCCAAGGTTGTCTACCCCTGATCTAGAACTTTTGCAAGTGCTAATGTGAACCATTTATTTATTTATTTATTTATTTATTCTAGAACGGGGGACGACACAAAAAAGGGAGGGAAAGAAATGGAACAGAAAGTGACAAAAATGCGTACAGAAAAGCAGCTCAATTTTTAAAATATAGTATTAACGATAGGCTAAATTTAAAGCTTTATTATGTATTTTTCCCAACAAAGATGGTAAATGCTGGCTGAGTGTATTCAATAAAGACATGACATAGTACATTGTTGAGGTGTTTGTTTAATCAGAACTTCTTTATCTATGGTAGGACTTAAAGCAAGCAACAGGTCGTTATACTGCAGGACTACAGATAGTTCTAAAGAGGTCAAAAACTTTCTCTCACTAATACCTATATCCTTGTTTAGATAAACATCCTATTCTCATTTGCAGTTCATACATGCTTAAGGCAGAAACTTGATCAATGATAGAAAAACAACTCCCTTTCCCCTTTCTCCCCGTCAGATGTACGTTGGTCAGCAGCATTGTGTCATAAATTCTTTAAGAGCTCTCTTTCTCCCCCCCCCCCTGTTGTCTCTTCTTTCATCCTTTCAAAAGCTAATGGGGGAAGGTTGAGCTAGCCGCCATTCCCTTTTCCTCCTGTGCCCCAACAGCTGATAAATGACAGTAGATTTCTTCCACTGCAGAGTGAAATATGAAATCCCATAAAGGCTTCTCACTTATTAGATGGCTCGCAGCAAGCTGCTTATAATGCATGGTGGCGTAATGCAGATTACAAACGTGACCAAATGATAATTAGCAAAGCTGGAGTAGCAATTAGCCTTCTTCTGCTGAGTACTGATTACCTTTCATAGTAGAAGAGCAGCTGAGCAGTTTGCAAACCTACAACTTTTCTGAGTCTAAACCCTTCAAGAAGTGCCCCAACTCTGCCTCCAGGGAAGTGTTGTGGTGAACCAATTTCCATCTTCCAAGACAAATTGACGGTCCCTCGTTCTTTGCCAAATGTTTTGCTGTAATACATGAGAAGGAACGAACATCTGCTCAGGATTAGAGCATAAAGATTTCTGGAGCAGCTGACTAGGTTTGTTTTCTTCTCTCCCAAACAGCAGGCAGAAGTCTCTACTTTATTCTACCTGGTGGTAAGACCTTCAAGCTGGCAGTGTTGGGAATGCACCTATTGTGCAGAGAATCAATCCAGCCTGTAATGTTAGAATCAAAAATTATTTCCTTTAGTTACTACTGTCAGAGCTGCTTTTAAAAAAAGAAGGGAAATAGCATGGCATCTTTGATTAATACAGCCTTCCTTAGCCTGGAAACCCTCACATATATGAACTGTTAATACATTATTGTATTTATTTGCTTCACTCTGTTTTGGTTCTTTTAAATTTTGCTTTGATTGGTCCAATAAATATTGATTGACTTCTGTTTCCGGAATCTTAGCAGTGATAAAGCAGTAATAATGTGTTGCTTATGTTCTGACTTGGGTGAGGTGTCTAGCTGCCCCCACTGCCCTTGTTTTTTTGTGCTGGGAAAGCCTAGAATTTCTGCTTCGCCGAAAACAGGGCACCGTGTTTATCCTTCATTCTTGGTGCCTCTCTTAAGCGGAGCAGAAAGCTGACTACGTCAGTATGCCTCCACAAGGGTACTCAACAGGGTCAAGGATCCTGTTCAGCAAAACGTAAGTTACTCCATTCCCTGTGGACACAAATACATATAGACAAACTCAAGGAGAGCGAGCGAGAAAGGCATTTGTGTTATGCTAAGAACGCAGTCGCCCTGCAAATGGGGGGTTACATCAGGGAGCTTGCACATCTGAGGTATGGCTTACTGCCCTTGGAAAAAAAAAAGGGGGGGGTATAGCTTCTGTTATCTGCCTGGACAAACACAGCCAGCTCGATCACTACAGATTAAAAAGGCAGACAGTATTAAATGTTGATCAGATAAGATCGGCTTTGTTTGGCTAGCTGTCCAGAGCAAACATGTACACAGAAGCAAAAGGGCCTAATGCAGGCAAACAGGCAGTGACACTCAGGGTGATTTTTTTCCCCCTGCTGTGTTAACTTGACTGGAAGTGAAAATCCATTCCCAGAACTCAGCAGTGCCTACATTCTTGGGCACCGAACCTTGCCAGAGGGTAGACAGCTGTTTCCCTCAGTTATTGCTTATGTGATGGGGGAGATTTAATGAGATTGTGTGCACCGAAGGATAAATACAAGCGTTTCCTTCTCTTCCTGGTCCAGCAGAGGCCCTGGCGGGCTTCAAGATAATTCTACTATCTTCTAGGCATGGCTGTACCTGTCAGTTGAAGGGGTTTAATAAATCAGGGCTGCAACTCTTCCCTTCTGTAAAAATGTTTGCAGAAAAAAAAAAAAAGGCATAGATGCTCCTCTGATGTTCTGGACAAGCAACGCTGAGCGTGCAAGATTCAGCTTGCTCCGCTTCACTGTGTTTAATTGCTTCACAAAAAGACAGTGCTAGCTGTGTGTGTGTGTGTGTGTGTGTGTGTGTGTGTGTGAGAGAGAGAGAGAGAGAGAGAGAGAGAGAGAGAGAGAGAGAGAGAGAGAGAGAGAGAATTTGCAGCAACCAAGGATCTGGCAACTGTTCAAAAACAGAATTAGCTTGAATGAGAGTGCATGGCTGTTGGCAGTCACGTTCCATAAATAACCTCTGATTTTATGGTCACCAATACTCATGGGAAAGAGGATGCAGGTTATCTTTTGACAAAGGGGATGAGCTCTGGGCTCATCTGAAACCAAAAAGCCAAGCTCCAGTCTGCCGCAGGCGGGCAGATTTCCCAGAGTGACATCTTGAAGGCTATATCTCCCTGGATGTGTCTGCACTTACCAAAAGACACTCAGACCATCACTTAACTGCAGAGTGACATGTCATGGAGTTCTTGAATTAGCTGATGATGCGAGGGACAACAATAGCCAAGTTAGAAGCCTTGTTTTATGGAAGGAGTGCGCTCTGGGTGAGCAGCCAGCATTCTCATGTTTCAGCCTAGAAATCTATTAACTTTTTCCGGTGGATGCTTAAATTGGGAGAGTGAGATTGTTTTGCTATATGCAACAGTTAGATCTCTGGGTTGGGTGAATAACAATATAGACACTTGATAGCAGGCATCAAGTGCCTTTTCATAGGAAACCCATGTCCTTCACCAGGCAGAGAGATTGGACTTTTATACGTACCCTCAGATGGAAAACCTAGATGTCATGGAGAAAGTTGTATACGTTTATAATGCTAATTTGCTCCGTGTAGGAATCCCATTATCAAGGAGGAACATTTGTTCCGTATGAAAATCCTATCTGAAGTCTAAAGTGGCACAATTCAGGCATAAACTTGCATGAGGCACTTTGATATAAGATGGGCAGCTCTACAAATGTTTTAAACAAGTAAATGAACGTGTCTGCCTAGATTTTTTACCTCTTTTTCTCTCCAGATGAATATCCATTAGTTTGGCAGCTTAGCAGAGAGACAATTGCCGAAGAATGGATATAATTGTGTTCTTGGGGAAAGGCTAAACCTTTTCCCATAGCTCAGACATGTCAAACACAAGGCCCGCAAAGTGGTTTCATGTGGCCTGCAAAGCCATCCTGGAAACAGTGAGGGAACGGCCCCCGCTGCCTTGGCCCTGGCCCTGGCCCAGGCCGGCCGGGAGCCAATGTACAATTTTGTGATGGCCATCTATGCTGAAACGCATTCAGTCTTAGCTCCACAAGGCCGTCAGCGAGGAACCAGCCCCTGCCGCATCGACCCTGCCCCCTGGGTGCATGCTGGGGAGGAGTCATCCTTTGTGAGGAATGAAGAAATGGACCATACCTTGGCGCTTGCCCTGATCTCGCCCCCTTCTTCCAGAGACCCTCAGATCTGTCCCACTCCTGCCCAGGTCCCCACAGGCCCCCGATGTAGAGCTGGCCATGCCCACCCAGTAGGCCACACTCACTCCATCCATGCCCACCCAGTAGACTGCACCCACTCTGCCCCCCCCCAAGGGCAAGTGCAATGCTGATGCGGCCCTCAACGAAATTGAGTTTGACACCCCTGTCATAGCTGGTCAGAATGGCCAGGTCAGCCTGTCTAAAGTGGGGTGGGGTGGAGTGTCCAATCTTGACAACTTTAACATTGTGGATTTCAGCTCCCCAGAATTCCTTAGAAAATCCTGGGAGTTGAAGTTCACAGGTCTTAAAAGTTTCCAGAGTTGGACACCCTTGTTCTAAAATTCTTCACCAATAAATACGTTAGAGAAGAACTTACTACAACCACTCCTGAAGGTAAGATCAAGTGTAGCCCAGGTTTGGGAAGATGCATGTGGTGGTGGGACCCAGGGATCCCTCAGTTGTTGTCATGCCTCAGTTGTGACTGCTTCGTTTTCTGTCTTTCCAGATGGAGTCTCCTGTGTCCACCCCTGCAGTGCTACCACTGCATCTTCTTGTCCCCGTTGTTAACAATGATATCTCGTCACCCTGTGAACAGATAATGGTACGCACTCGCTCTGTAGGGGTGAACACCTGTGATGTGGCACTAGCTACTGAACCAGAATGCTTGGGCCCCTGTGAACCTGGCACCAGCGTTAATCTGGAAGGCATCGTGTGGCAGGAGACAGAAGACGGTAGGTGTCCTTCAGTATACTTGTTTTAGACCAGTGCTAGTCACTTTGATCGATACAATATAGTAGATCATACCCCCACTCTAATTTGCAGGTTTGCATGTGCATACGCATATATTGGGCCTGTGTCCTAGAGCAGGGGTAGGCAACCTTGGCTCTTTTATGACTCGTGGACTTCAACTCCCAGAATTCCTGAGCCAGCAGGCTCCGGAATTCTGGGAGTTGAAGTTCACGAGTCATAAAAGAGCCAAGGTTGCCTACCCCTGTCCTAGAGTCAAAAAGATGAATGCATTGATTTGAAGCTTTGTTCGTTCATGAATCTGTTCTTTGTTTAAAGCTTGCATTCAAGCTTGCATTTTCTAAAGCCATCTTTCCAAGTCATTGTTCAGCTAAGCTCTTTTAATATTTGCACCTCTGAACGCAGTGTAAATGTTTGTAAGATGAGCAAATATTCTAAATTGGAGAGAAACCTTTGATCTCCATTTCAAAAAAAACGAATGAGTGCCTTCCTTTGTTTCGTAAGCTAGAATGCCCTCTTCCACCAGCTTTCCCACTGTATCTTCAGCAGACTTGGATCCACAAAAATGTCTTTTTAAGAGATCATAAAACTCTCTTTTTGTTGTTTCTGCCGCAAGAGATTAATGCAGCTACCCCTTTAGAAACTTCTAAAGAGGTATGATTTGCCTTGGCAAGGAGCCAGTAACAATTGGGAGATAGTCAATTATCTTTGGAGAGAGTGATACAAAGAAGCATCTTGCTGAGATGCAAAATGCATATCCTTGGCTGTTACTGATCCATTTTGATGTGATGCCAGTCAGAGTGGAATTGACAGATTCTGAGAGGTTATAATTTGGAAAGACAAAAAGGCATGCCGACAAATGTGCTTTCCAAACTTACTTGGCCCACACACTTGTGTATCTTCAGGAGCTTTTGTGAAGCTGGTTGACTGAAGATCAGAACCAACTATCTCATCCCTCAGCTTTATCGCCTTCGGTATATTTGGGGTTTCTGCTGATTGCTTTCTTTTTCTCTATAACTGAAAAACATTCTAATGAATAGGTGAACCCGCCAGACAGGATGAGACCAAAATAGAAAGCTCGTGCAGCGTTTTCTTACTTTCACCATTTGATAGCTCTGTTAGATGTCAAGTTGCGTTTAGGTGGATGTTTCTATTTCTCGTTAGTGGCAATTTGAAATATTGGTTCCTGAGCTGTTGATGAAAGAAGGGGCCAACCTATTGTCAAATTGGTCAGGTTTTGACACTGGCACTTACATCCTAAAAAACCCAAGCTCCATCACCCTACCAGAACTCCTGAAAATTGTCAAGAAGGTCTACCTGCTGATCAGGATCTGAGCACCTTCCACATATTTCAGAGAAAACTACTTCAGGAGGCAACTGAGATGACGATACTCATCCTTTCCTGCTTGTTACCATCTTGAACATTTGCAGAATTACCCTTTTCTAGGATAGCTATAATTTCAGATCTTGCCTAGAGGTTATTCTGTGATTCCTGCCGCTTAACTATTTTTAGCCTGCACTCGTTGTAAACACGCAGAGTTCTTGTCTGCCACATTGCTCCAGCTGTGCCATGGTTCGTACTGTCAGAGAAATAATATAACCCTCACAACAAAGTCTTTGCATCTTAGATCAATTTTGCATTATTATATTGCTGTGTCTTCTAATTGTGTATTGGGCAAGACAGTGGCTCCTTAGTTAACAATGGCACTTAGATTTCAGGTGATACAATTTTGCCTGATGAATGCATTTCTCTTATATATGATGCCAAGCCAGGAAACAGATTCCCACGATCCTTGTTCATTTACTTTTGCTGTCTGTGGCAAGCAAATGTCTTTCCTAGGTGAGCAAGCAGAAGATTTTTAAAAATGCTGGTTCTTCTCTTTCCCTCAAATCCTTGAGATGCCAAGTACCACTAACAACATCAGTGTTTGGGCAGCAAACTGAACATGTTTTATGCAATTGCTTGCATATTTGGGCTACTTACCTAGCACATCATGAGAAAGGCAGGGCTAGATGAAACAAAAGTTGGAGTTAAGATTGCCGGGAGAAATATCAACAACCTAGGATATGCAGATGATACCACGCTAAGGGCAGAAAGTGAAGAGGAACTAAAGAGCCTCTTGATGCGGGTGAAGAAGGAGAGTGCAAAAGTTGGCTTGAAACTCAACATTAAGAAAACCAAAATCATGGCATCCGGCCCTCTCAATTCCTGGCAAATAGATGGGGAAGAAATGGAGGTAGTGACAGATTTTATTTTTCTGGGCTCAAAGATCACCTCAGATGGGGACTGCAGCCAAGAAATTAAAAGACGCTTGCTCCTGGGGAGGAAAGCTATGGCAAATCTAGACAGCATACTAAAAAGCAGAGACATCACCCTGCCAACAAAAGTGCGTATAGTCCAGGCCATGGTTTTCCCAGTTGCAATGTATGGCTGTGAAAGTTGGACCATAAGAAAGGCTGAGCGCCAAAGAATTGAGGCCTTTGAACTATGGTGCTGGAGAAGACTCCTGCGAGTCCCTTGGACTGCAAGGCGTTCAAACCGGTCAGTCCTAGAAGAGATCAACCCCGACTGCTCTTTAGAAGGCCAGATCCTGAAGTTGAAACTCAAATACTTTGGCCACCTAATGAGAAGGAAGGACTCACTGGAGAAGGGCCTAATGCTGGGAAAGATTGAGGGCAATAGAAGAAGGGGACGACAGAGAATGAGATGGCTGGATGGAGTCACTGAAGCAGTAGGCGTGAGCTGAAATGGACTCCAGAAGATGGTAGAGGACAGGAAGACCTGGAGGAACGTCCATGGGGTTGCGATGGGTCGGACACGACTTCGCAATTAACAACAACCTAGCAACTTAGTTCATACATGATATTAGACACCAGGCTTATTTTCAGTATAAAATGAAGACTTCATTTGTTAAGTTTTGCTCAAGCCACAGTTTCCAGTACAATTAAACATGTAGTTCATTGATACTCAGATAAATTGGAACTCTTGCATCTGAACTGATTACAAGCCAATTAACTAAGAAATTTGTCATTTTTATTATTATTATTTTTTTGCCTTAATTGAGTCTAAAGGATGCCCCAGTTACGCAGGAGGGCAAAGGGGTGGAAATGTTTCCTGTGGGCATAAACAACGCTGGTTCAGAGCTCTTAACGGCTAAATTTGTCTCTTCTGAAATGATTGACCTCTGCGCCAAGTTGTAGCCCTTGTCCTTGCAGGCTCCACAGAGAGCTTTTTCAGAGCCATCTGCTCTTTTCGCTGAGTAAACAGACTTCTAACTACAGTACTGCTTGTTCTGTTCACCTGCCTCGTGCAGACATACATCATGCTGAATAACAGCAAGGATATTGTAAAGACGCTTAAGACGGCAATCATAGCAGTTTCTCTAATTCGGTTACTTGCAGTGCTGATCTGCTGAGATCATTAATGGATTTAATTATACCAAAACGCAGCCCTCTCCACTCACTCACAGCCTTGCCAGCCGCCTGCTTCCCATTTCCTCTTAATTGTGATGGATGCCATCTGGAGGGGAGCCAGTAATGGAAGGGGAGGGGTTTTGATGGCTGCAGATCTGCTCCAGGTGGGAGGCAAACCCGTTTCCGCCACCTTCAAAGTCGGGGAGGCTTGGAGTACCGTTGCCCCACACCTGGGAAATGTCTCAGCCAATAGCAGTGGGGCTTGCAGTTAAAAAAAAAAAACAACCCCATTGTCTGACACACAGATCTTCATAGCAACAAGGATCACTGCATGGCAACAGCAGCTGCTGCACAAAGGAACCATCAGAAAGAATCATCTTCCTCCAAATCTTCCTCCTTCCCTTTTATCTAGTGGATGAGAAGCACTCTGGGTTGCAATATTTCTCTCTCTCTCTCTCTCTCTCTCTCTTTCTTTTTTTGTTTTGAGAGGTATACATTTTCTCTGAAAGAGGGCAGGCAGTTCTGTCAAGTCTCCAGTGGAAAGAAAGGGGGGGCCTTGCATTGTAAGCTTATAGCAGGCCAGCTCTTTGAATTTTGCATAATTAAATTCTGCCGCAAGAGCTGAAACTTCGTGATGAAGCTCTAGTGTACAAATTGCAGCGTGTATGCCAGTTTGAAAGTGTCAGTGGCCATCGCCGGAGCTGTCGGAACATCCTTTCTATTAAATAAAATCCACGTCCCCCCCAGCCTCTCTAGCCTTTAATGGTAATAAGCAGTGGGGAACTAAAATTGGTGAAAGGAGGATACTTAAAAGGAAGAATAACATTTCTCACACTTCTGGTTTCTCTTTGTAGCACTAGAGACCTGTGGCTTTCTTTAAAAAAAAAAAATTTAAGAGGAAGAAGGAATTACCCAGTCCAGTACTGAAGTTGAATAAACAATGTTCATGTATTCAGAGCTAGATGCTTTAAAAATAATTTTGAACTTAGGCTGACAAGTGCAAAGCACAGCAAAATTGCCATGGTTGAAACAAACAAGTGAAATCCGAACTTAAAAAAACACAAAAGAATGTGTGTTATATGAGAGGGGAAATGTTTTTTTTTTTCCTTTAAATAAAAAGGAAGTAAAAACCCCATTGAACTAATGTTGACAAAGCAGGATTGGTTCATTAAGACTCTCTTAATGATGCTAGTTTTCATGTGCAGTCACAAGGTAGCAAACACAAACAGAAGCACAAGGTGAAACGAAAGTTTTTCCAATAAAACCACGCTTTGAATGTTGGGGACATTAATGCTCCTAAGAGAAGTGTCTCTTTGGCAGATTATATTTGGACACCACACAGCAGTTCCCGAGTTACAGATATGTAACCATAATAATGTAGGAAAGGAGTTTGGAAATGCCAAATGGGTACAATCTTCTCTCCGTGAATTGCCCAGTGACAAAATGGCTGCACTTTGAAAAATCTGACTAAACCAGCCTATATACCAGCACAAAACAATTTTGGCTCAGTAGCTGAACTACTGGATGACAGCTCTTATCTGTTTTGGCCCCATTAAAATCAAGTTTTTAT